AGTTTGTAATGGTCTCTATTATCCATGAATGTGTGAGATCATGTGGTATTTTTCCTTCATTGACTGGCTTATTTCACTTAGCATAATGCTCTCCAGTTCCATCCATGCTGTTGCAAATGGTAAGAGTTCCTTCTTTTTTACAGCAGCATAGTATTCCATCGTGTAGATGTACCACAGTTTTCTAATCCATTCATCTACTGATGGAAGTGCACTAATCTTAAGTGCATGGGCCAGGGCTAATTACTATACCGTTTATTTTGTGACTATAATACAATTTATCCTTTATAAGTAAAACTGCTATAAACATTCTTGTACATGTGTTGATGTATATGAGAGCTCATTTCTTTTGTGTATATTCCTAAGAGTGGGACTGCTGGATCATGAAAAAGGCTTATGTTTATAGTAGATACTGCCACCAAATAGCTTTCCAAAATAGTTATCCTATACACCATAAAGAAGTAGCTCAAGAGCCAACACAATGTAGAATCCATTAAGTTAAAAGCACATACTGTTTTAGAAAGTTCACTTCCAGATTCCATAATGCGCAAACACAAAGGGATAATTTCTGTTGTCAATAAAAAATTGATTACTTCCTGCTCGTCTGTTTTCACCAGAGCCCCTAAAGAAAATATGGACAAACAAAAGTATTTCAGTTGTTAGGATTTCCAATTAAAATGAACTTTGTATTGTTCATCCAAGCTAGTTGTGGAACTGAAATAACACAGAACACAAACTGTAGTTTATATGTCATAACATCAGCTGTACCCATGTGTTTTTTTTTTTTAAAAAAAGGGGGAGGAAGAGAAGCACAGATTGACTGCTATCAGTCAGCTCTGAAAGATCAGGAACCAAGTTTGGTCCACCACAGAGTTTGCAACAGTGTAGCCATCTAAATCATTTTTTTAATCACTCTTGGTAGACAATCATATAATATCATCTATTCTTCATTTATTTTAGGTAAGAGAGAATTCTACATCAGTATTAAAGCACATTCCCAGATAGCAAAAAGATGGTGTCAGTCTGAATCCTACTTCACAATGCACATAAATAAACATTACTTCCTGATTAGTAATTGCCCCTCTTTCCTCAAAGAACACAAACATTTGGATATCCAAACAAGAAACACACATACACCTAGATTCTAATCCTGGTTCTACAATAGTTTACTTAAGTTTGATAATGGTACCTTCCCTTTGTAGGCCTGTTTCTTTATCTAAAAATAATAGTAGAAACAAATGATTTCTAAAATACTATTATTCTGTTGGTCTCTAAACTAACACCATTGACCAAGTGACTGACACAGTTCAGTGGTATTATCTCCATTCTGTACACAGGGAAGCAGAACCCCATGAAACAACTGAGTTTTGTATACTTGGTTCACCAGCAGCATGATGTTCCTCTTTAGCTTCTACCGGTTGAAATTTCAAGCCTTTCCCCGACCCCGACTTATTTGTGAAGTTCCACTTCTTGCCTTCTGCATTTTCCATCTCAGAAAAGAGGTCGAGGTTGATAAAGAGAAAATCTTACTCTCTTGCTCCTTTTTCTTGTTTCTTAAAGTGCTTGCTTAAGATATTTAATTAAAGACCTCTCTCCTTTTCTAGTATAAGAATTTAATGCTACAAATTTCCTTCTAAGCCCTGCTTTAGTTGCATTGTACAAATTTTGATATGTTTTAATTTTTATTCAGTTTCAAGTGTTTCCTAATTTCTTTTATGTATCATTTCATTTATATTCAAACTTGCCTGATGACTCTTCAACTACACTACAGTAAAACCTCGATTTTGCGGACCTTAATTTAACGAATTTGGGATTTAATGGACAAAATTTCTGGTACGTATGTCATATATGAAAATTAACATCCTGTTAATTTTAAAATGCTTTTAACCAAAATTTGCTTATAATTAAATTAACAGATTACTTTTTGTTATTAGTTCACTGTTATTTTGTTGTTGTTGTTAATCCTCACCAGAGGATATTTTTCCCATTGGGGAGAGGGAGAGGGGGAGGCGGAGCGGGAAAGGGAGGGGAAGAGAGAGAGAGAGAGAGGAACATCGATGTGAGAGAGACACTTTGACTGGTTGCTTCCCATATACACCCTGACAGGGGGTGAGGAGCAAACCTGAAACCCAGGTACGTGCCCTTGACCAAGAATCAAACCCAAGACCCTTGGGAGGGCAGGCCAATGCTGTAACTACACACTGGCCAAGGCAATTCACCGTTATTTATTTCCTTTTTGTTTTTATTGATTTCAGAGAGGAAGGGAGAGGGAGAGAAAGACATAGAAACATCAATGGTGAGAGAAAATCATTGATTGGCTGCCTCCTACATGACCCTCACTGGGGATCGAGCCCACAACCTGGGCATGTGCCCTGACCAGAAACAAACCGTGACCTCCTGGTTCATAGGTCAACATTCAACCACTGATCGATACCGGCTGGGCAATTCACTGTTATTTTTGACAAATTTTAGGGAATAGGCCATATGTTAGAAAAAACACTATAGTAATTTCGCCTACATAAGTAAATACTACATCTACAATTATAGTCTACATATTTAAATCTAAGAGTTACCCCATGTAAACAATGTTCAATGAATGACTAGCATGTGATCATACCACATCATGCTTGGTAATTGGTTCTTTGTTGTGTGGCATGACTTTCTGCAGCAGTTTTAACTCGTGTGGAGGATGTTCCGATGTGTGCTAAGCCATGCTCCAGCCATGTGCATTTGTTTACTTATAGTGACTGGTGAATGCACGCATTTACTAGACTAATTCAGTATAAATTTAAAATTACCATTATACATCTAGAAATATTTTTTGTAAAATTAAACTTCTCAAACATACTTAATTACATAAACATGTCTACATAAGTAAAAACAGGTAAACTATTTGTCAACTTTTTAACATACGCATTTGGAAAACCTACTTTATTATATAACAAACTTTCAGCTTTAACGGATACCACCTCACTCAAATTAGTCCGTTATATCAAGGTTTTACTGTATAAGCAAAAAATTTAGGTCCAAATGATCACCTTCAATTGACTTGGAGAAACTGAGTTTCAGAAAAGATACGCAACCATGAATAATTGGCTTAATGTTGTCCAAGTATTTTATTCATCCTCCACTGTTATCTTTATCTTACCATCTCATAAATATACCATCCAACATCAACAGTAAAAAAAGCAGACAATAGAAATAGGATGATTTAAATCAGATTTAAAATATAAATGTTTTCTTTTGGCTGAAATCATGTTATCTTAAATCCTACATGACAAATTTATATAGCAATTTATATCTTTAAAGCAGAAAAGAATATATTGGAAAAAAAGTTACTAATTAGAGTGCCACCCAGAAGATGTAAAAAACAATTACATGCCAAACCGGTTTGGCTCAGTGGATAGAGCGTCGGCCTGTGGACTGAAGGGTCCCGGGTTCGATTCCGGTCAAGGGCATGTACCTTGGTTGCGGGCACATCCCCAGTGGGGGGTGTGCAGGAGGCAGCTGGTCGATGTTTCTCTCTCATCGATGTTTCTAGCTCTCTGTCCCTCTCCCTTCCTCTCTGTGGAAAATCAATAAAATATATTTAAAAAACAAAAACAAAACCAAAAAAACAAAACAAAACAAAACAAAAAAACAATTACATTCATCTGGAGTAAATGAAGTAATAGTTACTTCTTAAAAGCATAATAAAATGTCAGAAATATGTCTTAGAAATACCAAACTTTTAAATTATACTTCCTGATTCATGGTTTAAAACCATAGGCATGTGAACACAGGTTGAACATAAAAATAACCTAATAAAACAAAATTTGAATAATCAATGTCCTTATGGTTTGATTGGTATGTAAGCAAAAACTATAAGAAGACACTAAAAACAGAAAGGGTAATTGAGAAAGAAACTTTCTTGAGTGTGTTTACATTTCCCAAACCCAAAAGTAGTTCTTTACTACCCAGGAGGCTGAGATCTGAAATAGCTATCTGAAATAGCTATATATTATAGGAGCTATATTACTTTCTTGAATAAAATGTATTTTAGATACATTTCCCATAGTAAATGTATATGGAAGCATTAGCTCGAGCATGCAAAAATTGAACTAGGTGAAATAGAAGGTAAACCTTTCGAGTTAAGAAAGAACAGGTTAGAGGTGAGAAAGACAAACAACAAACTCAAATTCTTATTCCTAGAATTATACTTTTTATTTGTTGACTGAAGTACTTTACTCTCCCAATTCTAGCAAATGTTTCTACATATACACTGAATTTAATCCCAAATGTTGGGCCTTATTAACAACTCCCCGAATGGTACTTGAGAAGAGCCATCATGGTCGATACTCATTACTAAAAACATTCTAAATCTCAAAGACAAAAACAATTAGTGAACTAGAAAACAGCAGACAAAGCACTCAAGTTAAGACCACTATTATAAATCAGGACTTCAGGCTTGCAGAACAACCCTTATGACTCACCAATAACTCCAAGACTGGTTAGCCGAAGATATTCAAAGGGACGCGTTTTGCTGACAGTGTGTAAAAAGGGGTACAAAAAAAGTGGAATGTGTGCTGCAAGAAATGCTGACCTGGAAGAAATAATCATAAGGAGCCCAGAATTAATTTCTAAGGATTCTAAACATTCAAATTTCCAGATGGTTAATTCTGTAAGGTCTTTAACATTGACTGACCGAGGTATCTTTAGGAAAGACTGTTATTAGACCAGTGGTTCTCAATGGGGGTGATGTTGCACCCCCAGGGACATGTGGCAACGTCTGAAGATATTTTTTGTTGTCACAACTGAGGTGTTGCTGTTGGCATCCAGTAGACAGAGGCCAGGGATGCTGCTGAACATCCTACAATACACAGGACAGCCCTCTCCCCTCCCCATCCCCTCTCCTCCCACCACAGACACTTATCCAGTTCAAAACATCAATGGTGTCAAGATTTAAAAACCCTAGTCTAGGCCAATGGTTAAGAGAATACATGATTTTCCCTCTTATCAGTACCAAGTACTTAAGAAATATCTAACTGCAGATTGTAAAATACTAGACCATAAAATGCAATCAAGTGCCCAAGAGATTCTCCTAGATACCTTCTCTCACCTAAGTTATGGCTGAATAACAATATTCACAGGTATAGTCAGACAAAACCTTATAAACCAAGACAACAAAGCAGCCATTTCAAGTTTATTTGCTATGCTTAAATGCATACTCTTCTCTTTTTATTAGAGAAATTCCAGATACACTAAATATTCTAAAAACATTTTAATTTGCAACTTATGTCAGGCAACTAATATGGAACCAATCTATTACTTTACAGTATTTATAGTTAAACCTTGTAGGAGAGCTAACACACAAAACTTAAAAAAACATTATTATAATTTATTTTTATTGATTTCAGACAGGGAGAGGGAGATAGAAACATCAATGATGAGAGAAAAATCATCAATTGGCTGCCTCCTGCAAGCCCCCTACTGGGGATTGAGCCCGCAACCCGGGCATGTGCCCTGACCGGGAATCAAACCAGTGACTTATTGATGCATGGCTTGACCCTCAACAGCTGAGCCACACCAGCCAGGCTAGCGTTTTAGCTTTAAAAGATGAAGAATTATGGAGATGGATGGTAGTGATGGTTGAACATTATAAGTATATTTAATACTAATGAACTATACACTTAAAAGTGGTTAAAGTGGTAAATTTTATGTTATGTATATTTTACCACACTAAAAAGAGGTTAAAAAAGTTAATTATAAAAGAACATGTTAAATAATACTATAACTGTCATCACACTAAAATTTAGTGAATAAGAGACCAGAAATTCTTCAGGATAAAATCAAAAAGTAAATGTGGATCCTGAATATCCATGCCCACGTACATGCACCCTACTGCATGCCCCTCCTTGTCATCATTCAGAAAAAGTTAAAGATCATATTCAGTATAAAACTTCCCAAATAGACTCATTCAAAGCATTTACCTGGTTTCTGGGTGTGATGCCACACACTGCAGTAATGCCAGAGCATTGCAAACTCTGTTAGATTGGTGTGCTGTTAAGGTGGGTGGGTTGATAGATGGATAAATATTTACGATTTCCTAAAAAATGGAAACGACCAGATGAACAAAGTATAACTTGTTATAAAATTAATTCCCATGATATTAAAGCAAAGAACTTAAATATGCTCCTATCCTTTCATCAGAAATATACTTGACTGAAACTACCTGATAGTTCTACATGTCTCTAGGAAGATAGCTATGGAGACAGCTGTGGTCACTGACACTTTCTTTATATCCTGCATCTGTTGAAGCTTTCACTTGTGTGGAATTCTTACATTTATAATCCCTTTTTTTGTCAACACTCTGCTTTAAGTTACAGTGATGAGGAACCTGGCCAGAAAATGTTAGTAAATCAACCACAGTGACTCATAAAGGAGCTTGAGTTTGGTCAGATAGCAACTGCAAAAGGAGGAAGATAAGAACATGGGTATATGCAATGAATATATGTAATCTCTCTCAAAAGGTGATGATTTGTTGAATACAATTTCATTTATTTTAATTGCAAAACTTTTACATAAAAAAATATTCCAATAAGAAAGATTAGATGCTTGGCTACATGCAATATGGACAGAATGTGAACTGACTTAACAGATCTGAAAAATTAACATAAATATTAGGTATTTCATACAGTACTTTAAAGGATGATCATTCCTAGACTATAGCATATCAATTTATTCCCTACCAATGACCATTTTGGTCAGAAACAAATTTCAGTTATTTAATCTTTAATGTACAAGTGTTCCCACCTTTAATCTTACAACTGTCATATCTTTAACATTTTCTTTCCCCAGTATATACCTTGCAGTCTTTACACCTGACTTTCCACCTTCTCGCCACTGTCATGTAGAACTGTCCTGTAGTACTCCTAAAGCTGTGTTTCTCAAAGTGTAGTTGTTAGACCACCTGCATCAGAATCACCTGAGAGCAGGGGAGGTGCTTATTTAAAATACAGATTTTAATCTCAGACTAAATAAACCAAATATCTTGGGTAGGATCCAAAAATCTGCATTTTAACAAGCACCTTAAATTTTTCTACAAGATTCTTGCAAATGCCAACATTTAGAGACTCCCCCTACTAATGTCTTCAAAATCATCTGGGCAAAGGGAGAGAGTTACAAGTGTAATAAACAGGACTGAACTACAGCTCATGGATATATATACTCACCTGTAAAAGTGCTGCAATAGTACCAAACGAATGCCACAGCATGGGTGCAAGGTCAGGAACAGATTCTCGCTTCTTACTTAGCTCCAGCAAAGCATTTTCCCTTGTCTCAGGACTGGACAGCTCATTGATCCACTGATAGATTTTTTCTCTATCTACTTGAGCCAGTGCAGTAGGCACAGGCTTCAAGTGAAAACAAGAAAGTAAACAAGTGAGTTTCATTAGAATCAAACCAAATCTTACTCTGCAGTAGTGCTTTAGAGTGAATATACTTCTCATAAATATCCGGGGAGCTTTTCTAAATATACACACTTGATATAAACTAATTGAATTTGTAAAATCTAAATTGCACATACACTTTAATAATTCCATGTTTAGGAATTTATCCCATAGGTATACTTGGGCTGTACTGAAGACATACCAAGATATTTACTGTTACACTGTTTTAAAAGCAGAAAACTTAAAATAACAAATATCTATCCTTAAGAAACTGGTTTAAAATGTATGGGTACATTTTTATACAAAACTAGAAGCCCAATGCATGAAATTCATGCAAGGAGCGGCCCTTGCAGCCCTGGCTTCGTCCAGAAGGTTGTCTGGAAGGACGTCCTGAAGTTCGTCCGGCTGTCTGGTCTAATTAGCATATTATGTTTTTATTATTATAGATACTATGTAGTCTTTTAAAAAAGAGACACTGTACCTCTGTATCTGTTGATACTAAATAAAAAGCCAAAAACAACAAAAAAGAGTATAGAACGGCATATATGCTTCCATTAACATACACATATATTCTTACATATTTACATGTAACATTTCTAAAGAACACATAAGAAATTGTTAACAGTAGTTACCTCTAACTTTGGAATCCATATGGGAGACTTACTTTTCATTGTATACAATAAAACCTTTTGCATAGTTTAAACTTTTTTTTATCATGTACCTATAATAGTTTTTTTTATTGATTTTTTTTTTTTTTTTGAGAAAGAGGAAGGGAGAGGGATAAAGATAGAAATACTGATGAGAGATAAACATCATCGATCGGCTGCCTCCTGCACGCCCTCTATGGGGAATTGAGCCCGCAACCTGGGTCGACGCTCAACCACTGAGCACACTGGCCCGGCTATAAGTTTTTGAAAGAAAAAGGTTACATCCATGCCATCCATTGCTGTTCAACTCCAATAATTCCAGTATCCCTTTCTCTCTCTCTCTTTTTTAAATTTTATTTTATCAGCATCCCCTTCTGTGAAGAAGAAAACGGATGTAATTTAGAAAAGCTCTTCCTTCTAATGATTCTCCCCTTTGAGAATCATGTTAGATACTCATGTAGGAATTATATAAAGACTTAATAGAACATGCTTTCATTATTGTGCTAAAGAACCACAATATTCCCCTCAAATTGAGGATATCTATAATTCTTCACACTTGTCAAATAGCCTTATGACCTAGTTAAGTCCCTTAATTGTTCTTATCTGGAAAATAAGATGGTAGACTAGAAAAATGATTACTGTTACTGTTTTGAAAGTCCTATCAAATTTATGTTGATTTCTGTCCCTATGTCCAATATTTTCTCATTTAATTCCTCCCAAACCATGACAAAGAAAAAGTTGGGTAGCTAGAAAGAAGGGCTCTGCACTTGCAGATGAGATCATTATGCTCAAAGGAATAAACCTGCTCAATTTACACAAATATGAGGGTGCATATTCCAATGCTTTCTTGAACGGTATTACATGGCTTCTCATAGTATTTACTAGTACATGTTCCCACTGTACCTTAATGTGATAGAATGTTGATTCACCCATCATACAGATGGAAAGATGAGGAACAAAAAGGACAACTGTTTTTGTTGAAGAATAGACTGAAGTCTCAGATGAACTTTGAGGCGTATTCACATTTACTCTACCCAAGCTAAACAATCGCCTTCTATAAATGGAAGCTTGATTCTAAGTTTTTAGCTTAATGTTTATCATTTCACTTGCTTGACAGAATGTACCACAAGGTGTTCTGCTAAATGAACTGAAACACCATGCAGCTTAAGTCTTCTTTAAATGCCTTAGAGTAGTGATTTTCAACCTTTTTCATCTCATTGCACACATAAATAATTACTAAAATTCTGTGGCACACCAAAAAATATATATATATTTGATCTGACAAAAAAAAAAAAGGTATATTTTTGATTCATTCACACCCGACGGCTATTGTTGTGTTGGCTGTTGTCATTTTTTAAATTTAACAATCTAAGGGAAAAGAGGTTAGTGCCCTTGACTAAACAGTCAGGTATTGCATGTTTTAAAATTTCTTGCGGCATACCAGTTGAAAATTGTTGCCTTAGAGTAATCTGTTAAACGCTGTGTTTTGACTCCCAGCAGTGATACTCCTCAAGGAAACAAAGGCTCCTAAAGTAACAATATGATGTAGAAAGAATAGGGTAGTTTCGCCCCTCTCTACAGCAAAAACAGAATTGTCCAAGCACTTGTCCTTTCTATTCTAGTATGGACAGGCCCTCAACTTAAAAAGTTATTTTTAGAAATGCAATTCCCATCAGAAGATAAGATATGCTTAGAGTATTACATCACCTTAAAAGCTCAGTGGAAACAAGGGCTAAAATTTTAGCTTTGGGTTTCCTGCCAAGTCTCTTGAATAACCCACAATCCAGTAATTCAAGGGGGCTTCATAGATGCTGCTCTAGCAATATAGTATCTACCCTGATTAGTCATTGCTCATTCTGGTCAACTCTCCCCAAAGTCCTGTCACCCAGACACTACCGTCAATAAACTCTATTACCCCAACTAAACCCAGCCTGTGACTTATACCCAGCAGCCCTGTACCCCAATCCACCCTGGGGCACCCTAGGTGAACACCACCAGTCAGCATATTATGAACACCATGCCCTGTCTCCACATATCTACACTAATAAAAGAGAAACATGGTAATTGGCGTACGAGCTACCCTTCCCATTGGCTAATCAGCATAACCTTATGCAAATTAACTGTCAGCCAAGATGGCGGCCGGCAGACAGGCAGCTGGAAGCGAACATGAGGTTTGCTTGCTGCAGTGACTGCGGACTCCAAACCCCGCCTGACTTGACGGCCTCTGAGCTACAACTCTAAGAAACTATGTACTATGTTGCAAATGTAGTAGCTAAACAAAACCCCAGAAATCAGCTTTCAGCCAGCCGGGATCTCAGAGCTAGAGTTATACATTGTTTCGATTATAGCAGCGGAAGCCTCAGAGCTAGAGCCAGAGCTAAAGCTGGCCCAGAATAAAAAAAAGAAAACAAGGAGCGGTTGGGAGCTTCAGTCAATTGCCAGCCTGAAAGCAGCCCTCAGCCCCTCACCCAGACTGGCCAGGCACCCCAGTGGGGACCCCCACCCTGATCCAGGACACCCTTCAGGGCAAACCAGCCGGCCCCCAGGCCTCTATCCTATATAGTAAAAGGGTAATATGCCTCCCAGCACCGGGATCAGCGGAGCCGAGAGGCCTCTTGGCACCAGATCAGCGTGACAGGGGGCAGCGCCCAAACCCCCTGATCGCCCTGCAGCTCTGTGTGTGACAGGGGGCGGGGCCACAACCTCCCTATCCGCCCTGCTCTGTTCGTGACAGGGGAAGGCGCCCCAACCCCCTGATCAGCCCTGCAGCTGTGCCTGATAGGGGGGAGCTCCCCAACCCCCTGATTGGCCCTGCTCAGTGCATGACAGGGGGCAGCGCCCCAACCCCCTGATCGGCCCTGCTCTGTGAGTGACAGGGGGCAGCGCCCCAAACCCCTGATTGGCCCTGCTCTGTGAGTGACAGGGGGCAGCGCCCCAACCCCCTGATCGGCCCTGCTCTGTGAGTGACAGGGGGCAGCGCCCCAACCCCCTGATCGGCCCTGCTCTGTGAGTGACAGGGGGCAGCGCCCCAACCCCCTGATCGGCCCTGCTCTGTGAGTGACAGGGGGCAGCGCCCCAACCCCCTGATCGGCCCTGCTCTGTGAGTGACAGGGGGCAGCGCCCCAACCCCCTGATCGGCCCTGCTCTGTGAGTGACAGGGGGCAGCGCCCCAACCCCCTGATCGGCCCTGCTCTGTGAGTGACAGGGGGCAGCGCCCCAACCCCCTGATCGGCCCTGCTCTGTGAGTGACAGGGGGCAGCGCCCCAACCCCCTGATCGGCCCTGCTCTGTGAGTGACAGGGGGCAGCGCCCCAACCCCCTGATCGGCCCTGCTCTGTGAGTGACAGCCCCCCCGAGTGCACAAATTTTTGTGCACCGGGCCTCTAGTTAATTTATATTTCCAGAGCTGATCTGACTCCAATTAGATGAATGGTGCTGGCCCTCTGGGAGGCCAATGACTTGTGTCTGTCTGCTTGGGTCCCTAGGGCTATGATCACCCACTACCAGCAAAACTCCAACTTTTGAGGCTATTTGTGGGAGCTGCAGCCTCCCTGAGAATTTGGTTCTAAGAGAGCTAGGGATGTCAGGTGGGGATCTCAGACATTAATTTGGAGCTGTGGATTCTGTAGACCATTCTAGCAACGGGAAGGCAGTGAAGGCAGTTTGATACCAAGAAATATCTGGGGCAGGGACCCTCCTTTTCATCATCCCTATTGAATTTTGCCTCCAGCTTAATAGGAGGCATTAGTTTAAATCCCACAACCTATTTGTTATGGGATGAATATAATCATTTCTTAAAATATAAAGGGAGCTAACATATATAGTACTTACTCTGACAGGCACTGTCCTAAATAAATATGTATCATCACCAGCTGCATTTTATAGATGAGAAACCCGAGGAGCACTGACTTAAAAGTTAAGTGATGAGCCAGGATTTGAATCCAAGTGGTCTGGCAACAGACTCTTAACTGCTTTGCTAATGCTGCTTCTCACCTGCCTGAAAGATTAGGTCTGATCTAAAGACGACTTTCTAAAAAACTATTTCCTGTGTCTATTTCCTAGACAATAGAGATAGGGAATATATAAAAATCTCAAACTAAAATTAAAAAGTTATTGCTATTAGTTCAGCAGAATCTGAAAACAGTCAGCACCATGAACAGTGTCACTGATGTTAAGAGAAATTCTCTACTTGTTGAGATTACAAGGCACTTAATAACCATCATTTTAATGGCAGTCAGTGAAATCATTTGACATAGACCGTCGACCCTCGGACTGAAGGGTCCTGAGTTCATCGTACTTCAGTTGCAGACTCAATCCC